GGTTTCCCTCCATTAGACACAATGGTATTCGGACGTCACAGCCCAGTTGCTGGACGAGGTGCGCACCAGTGTGTCCATCGACCCCTTGCTGCGACCACTGACGGGGGAGCGTCTTCACTACCGGACCGCGAATGTGAAGGACCGCGCCCGGTTGGATGTCGCTGCCAATGGTTTGTGGGGCAGTCGTTTTGAGCCTACACTTATTGATATACGGCTTTTTAACCCTCACTCACGCTCAAATCGATCTGCACCACATACTTTTGTGTATCAGCGACACAAAAAAGTAAAGAGAAGGCACTATGAGGAGCGGGTGAGGCAGGTTGAGCAAGCCTCCTTTGTTCCGGCGGTCATGTCAGCCAGTGGCGGAATGGGTCCAGCGTCAGTACAAACGCATTGCTTTTCTGTTGGCTGAGAAGAAAGGTGAGCACTACTCTCATGTTATGGCATTTGTTAGATGCAGGATTTCCTTCAGCCTTCTTAAATCATGTATCATGTGCATTCGCAGTTGTAGGCGTATACATTTTACTTTGAAATTTGCACCCTCGGAGCCCACGCTGCTTTGGCAGTGACGGAGGCTTACTTGCTGACGTAACCGTCGGAGACCATCATGAACAATGGACTGACTAATTATTCACTTGCCCTGTCTTTCTAAATAACATGTTATTGCACATGTTTTTAGTTTAGTTTTTGGCCTTTTTCGTGCTTTGGAGTTATTTGTTGTTTTTGGAGAGTTAAAAAAATCGGTACGCACAGGCAGTTTAGTGAGCCAGCTGCCAAGCTAAGCTGACGTCGGTGAAGGGCGCGCAGCCCCCAGTCGTGTTTGCAACATGTGCACGTGATCGCATGCACAGACAGTACTAGTGACAAGGCCAGTGTATCAGCTGTGGTATGGGTAAGGAACAAGTGCAACGTGGACCCTATACAAGAGAGCCAGCTGAGAGGGTGTTACGTTACTGTTAACTACAGTTAATGCTTCGCATAAACTGATTCGCATAAACTGATAATTAAATTTATTTATAATGTATTTTTTCCCGACATTTTTAGTCTTCGGGGTACTTTATACACATGTACCGGGTGCTCAGCAAAGTCGTACATGCTCTAACATGGTCTTCGTCACAGGAAGTAATGCGTCACGTGAATTGTAGCCTAGTGTAGGACGGCGGCCAGCTCTCTCCTGGTGCCCTGCAGTCATCCATTTGTATTTACAGCTTCGACAACGTTCGACCAAACGTTTTGCTTTTCGGCGACATCCGATACGGAAGCGTTTAGATGGGCAACAGCCTGCCTTGATGTGAGTTCCACTAACAATAATCTCTCTCTCTCTCTCTCTATCTCTCTCTTTCCCCCCCGCCCCTCTCTCTCTCACGTACACAGCGCTTGAAAGCTTTGTCACTGTCTGAGGCTCGAGGTTGCAGTCAGGAATACTGTTTTTAACGTGATAGTAGGTCTACTCTGCAATTTTGTGTGCTCTGCATGCAATTATGTACATAGTCATGTACATGACATGTAATACCATGCCATGTAGTCTACATAATTGTAGAACAACTGGTTCATAGTCAGCTGATCCACACTCCTCGGTTTTCCGTACAATTTCGGTCAATTTCCGTACTGCAGACAAAGCAGTGAATTTCCGTACATATACGGGAAATACGGAAGGTTGGCAGCACTGAGATACCGTCCTTTTGACGTCTTCCACAAGGATTTTGTGTTAAATTTTCTGTATGTAAGTACATAGTCTTGGTCCATTTCATGTGGGGAACATTACCAAAATGAGCTCTTGTGCCGAAAACAGCACCCACCACCTTGGGTCAACGATCAGAAAACCAACCCGAGTCAAGAAGAACCGTAACTAGGTGAAGGTAATTCTTCTGATAACAATGAATCCGCTAAAGACGCAGGTGACAAGCACCGCTTGTCTTTCGTTTCAGAGCCACATTTGCAGCACTGCAACCTTCGATACAACAACATTTTTCATCAAAAGACAAGGGTTTGAATCTTTACGTGACAGTATATTTTTTATTTTTTTATTCTGAAATACACAATCCAGCTGAGACGGAATGGAAGACAGAACCAAGGAGGAGACATGACAATACAGCGGGAAAACGGGACAGCGTGCTGGTGAATTGGGCCTACCTCCCCCAACCATGGGTCTCGGGATCAGCGGAAGGATCAAGCACCAAACAGTCCCTCTTAAAGTTCAATCGCAAACTCCCACCAAAAATTCATTTGAATAGGATTTGCTCATGACAGGCAAGCTGGTCCCGGGTTCGAGTCCTGGTGGGTCGGGCATTTTCTCTCTTTTCAGGCAGCTCACTTCCCCGACTTATCTTTTGACTTTGAAGTTCTCCCGATCCTTTCAAAATGAATACGATTTAATCCTGTTTTCACTCGTACAACCTGTGACATGTGTTTGCGGAATGGTCACACTAATAATGTGGTTGTTACAAGGCTGTGCTGGGCTTACAACCAACTTTATTGCACTATAATTTTCGAAGTTGCTAACACTATTTCGTACTGATATACTGTATAGCAGGAAATTTTCGGACGGAATTTATTTTCGTACGATTTCGTACAACGGCCTCTTTTGTACTATAATTAATTCCATACTAAAATTTGTTCATGTGAAATTATGTACACTATACATGCATACTCCTTGCGAACACGTGTATTTAGCATGCAGCACTGTACGAAACCCTAGGGTTTATCGGGTGTTAGCGGCCGTCGTGAGTTCCCTTCGGGAACGGACACGATAATTTCCTTTTTATTTTACTGTACGAAAATATTATTCCGTACGAAAGGTCGAAATTTGACTTTGTCCGAAAATAATTCCGTCCGAAAATGTCCTGCTATACAGTACCCAGTGCAAGCGTTTGACTAGCTGGTTTGGAGTTGACAGTGTTTGACTAGCTGGTTTGGAGTTGACAGCGTTGTGAATGATCAAGACTCCTCAACGCCTGTTCTCACCTTCCAGGAGTAATACTGACATACACTGGTGTCTGGTGTTCAAGAGGTGTTTGTCGTACTGGAAATGGAGTGTTTCTATAAATGTGCGTATCTGGTGGTGGTCTGGATTGCAAAGGAGAGCTAGATATTTTTACAGTTGTAGTCTTCAAGACCACTCTTCTTCAGCCTACTCAAGCTCAACTAACGAGGGGTAAACTCCCCCAAGCCCTGTGTATTGAGCAGTGACTGGTGTTTTTTTGCAGATTTGTTTGTATTGTATTTATTCAGCGTTTCATGGCTCGTCAAACGACTGCCAATGACAGATGAATGTGAAATGAAGGGTGATAGCCAACCGCGGAGAATATCAATAGATTTGCCGAGGCTAAGGTTCCATGCACTTGTCGTGTGTTCTAGATGGCAATTGTGAATTAATCAAGTGTCGAATCAAGTCATCAGGAACGCGAGTTTGATCTAGTGTAGGATAAAACAACTTTCGTATTACATTATAGGCAAACAGTGGCGGATGCAGAGATCTCTTCAGGGTTTCCAGTTCAGCCAAAATGCTGCAAATGTGTATTGACAGCTTCATATGTCTATGAATAGTGTAGGCTCTAGAGTGTTATGTGCGGCTTCTGATATCACATTGCACACAGAAATCAATAGTTTTATGCACAGTGGTGAAACACAGGCAAACATGGTAATGCTGGTAGCCGTTGGCAATGCCAATTCTTCAAAAGAACTGGAAGCAAGAGTAAACCCCAAAGAGTCCCTAATTTAAAATATAGAGCGGACGATGCACCCAGTGTGCTGTAGGCCTCGACCAAATAATTATGCTAAAAAAAGAGCATAATTATTATGCTCGTCGCATATCAGGGAAAACGTCCATAATATGCCAAAGGCTTAGCAAGATATGCAAAAAGATATGCCAAAATATGCCAAAATATGCTCGACATAAGCAGAAGGTGTAGATCATTTCAGTAAAATTATAACCTTGGCATATTCATTGGCTTCACGGTTATCATGCTTATGGTGCAAATCAAAGCATATGCGGAATAGTATGGCTGGGGTGTGTCCCCAGCAATCGTAGCGATAGTGTTCATCCATGTGGAAATGTAGCAAACGCCTCAACCATTCCAAATTCATCCATAAAAGGCATTTCTGAACGCATTTTGTCCATATTATTTTTTTATTTTTTTCCTCATTTTCTTCAGAATATTTGAATTATATGCTGGCTTCATTCCAATATTCCCTTGTTCGCTCAATATGCCATAATATGAACTGTCTCACAAAATATGCGGAAATATGCGCAAGCATATATATATATTTTTTTTTATTTTGGTCGAGGCCTAGTGTGCTGACAGTGCTGAACACCACGGAGGCATTGTTGCCGGATGATTGTGAAAGCATGAAACTTGAGGTAACGACAAACAAGACTTGATTGGCCTTGTTGCACTGTAATTTTAAAATAGATAAAATAAACCTCACCCAAGAGGGCTTAGGCACCCAGGAGCTCTTAAAACCACCCAAGAGTGCACAACTTTATGGACATGGTCCTTGATGACATAGCTCACATCACGTGGTCCACAGCTACTGCAGCAATGTGGTGTATTCGTGCAGATGCAACAGGGGTCATTGTGCACATAGTCCAGGATTTGTTGATTTGCTGAAGATGTTCTCCGCTTTCCGCCAGAGATTGCTTTCATTTCCCTTTTTTTTGTTCACTATAAACCCATGGATATGTATGAAGGGTGATAAGAAAGTGTTCGACCTGGCCCAAAAGAAACCGTATATCACTGGTTTCTTGTTTCTAATTGTCACAATAACCACACTGCGAATGAATGTATTTCACTCAGCAATCGCTCGAGTGTCATCAATCCACCTCATTAGAAGGTTTTTCATCTTGCCAGTCTAGCACATGGTGAGACTTCTCAATCTAGAATGGCCAAAGGCAATGTAGTTACAGCTTCACACTCTTGCAACAGGGTATTATGTATCTTGGCACCAGAAGTAGTGCTAGAAGCAAAAGGGTAAGACAAACTAATCACTAATCAGCTTACTTGAACACGGTGATTGTACTCCTCAGTGACCAAGAAGTGACCATGCCTATCCTCGGCAATGTACCGAGGGTGCTTGAGCTGACCATCTGACTCTCCCTCTGATCCGAACATGGTAATGAAGTTTCCATCAGTAGTGAAAACCTGCATGAAAACGAAATGCATTTAAAACTCTACACTGTGAAACATTCAGTAGAGAGGTTCTGCAAAACGAAAATTCGAACGAAGTTTCGCGACAGTCCTTGCGAAAGTGTGTACGAATTTTTGCATAAACTTTGCGTTCTGCACATTTTCGTAGTTTGCGCGGCCCAAGTGCACGTACGCCATGACCCGATCTCACGAAAGTGTGTACGACAGTTCCTTTCGCGCTCCCTGCAGGTTTCGCGTCCAAAGTTGCGAAACTTCGTGCGAAGTTTCGCACTTCTGTTCATGACGTACATGCAGAACGAAAGTTTGTACGCATTTTCGTTTTGGCAGAATCTCTCTAGTGACTCATTTGTTCCAAACGAGACTAGTCAATGAGTTGTTGTGGCTTAGAATCTTTCGCTGTAGAAGAAATCCGTTCGTATGTCTATTGGAGAAATAATTGTATTCATTGGTTATAAAATTGGTTAAGACAAACTCACAGAATAAATACCATCGGTCCCTTGGTGTTCGTCCTAAAGAGGTTCGACTGGATATCATTCATACTCACCAAAAGATGTGTAAGATTTTATTATTATGGAGTGCCTTGTTTATCTCTCAGTACCTCCAACCATAGCCTTGCCCCTTTTATCCTCAGGATCAGTGTAGTTGTTGGAACAAGGTGTCGGACTCGGCAATGTATTTGTTTACATTTTAATACATGTTTATTGTTCCTCCTTTGCTGTGTTGTTTTAGAAAATCGTGGACTAACAGTTTGAAGTCATTGAACTACTTCCAAAAGTTGTATCCACATCAACAGGATTACGATTTCAGTGCAATATGATGCAGGATGACCTTATCACGATAACCCATGATTATAAACCATTATAAACACAGAATCAACAAAAACATCTGCGACACGCACCTGGTTACATTTCTCACATAAATCTGAAATATCTGAAAGGCAAGGCAACTTTATGACAGAGTCATGGAATTCTGCTACAGCAACATGCACAGAATGACCTCCGTATAATAATAAAAAAGTATTACCACCACTACTCACATGTTTCCTCGCAGAAGAACATAATTATGTACGTGCTAGTGCCATTTTCTACAAGAAAAGGCTTGCACATCAATGCGTATAATACGGTATTGATATGATGTGAAGGCCATCATTTACATATTGATATAGCATATACTGGCAGGGAGTCGTAAAATATTTTACGACTCCCTGATATAGGGCATTCCATTGATTGGTGACAGAAAAAACAAAAGAAATTATAGCAATAAAAACTGCTTTATGGCAGTTTTCTAAAAAAAGTTATTGTGTTCTTGTCCATGGACCCCGTCTAAAAAGTAAGAAATTAACGAAATGTGATAGCCGAAAATTAAAATTTCACACAAAACCTCACAATAATCACACACAGAATGAAAGGCTACATGTAGAAGACCTTTTCCCCTCGTGATCCTCTTTCCTATGGATGCATGACTGCATGTTGCCAATTGTTGGTGCAGTACAAGTTTACAGTGTGGAAAGCAGCATTTCAAGTGTTGTGATTATTGTGAGGTTTTGTGTGAAATTTTAATTTTCGGCTATCACATTTCGTTAATTTCTTACTTTTAGACGGGGTCCATGGACAAGAACACAATAACCTTTTTTAGAAAATTGCCATAAAGCAGTTTTTATTGCTATAATAGTCTTGGTGAATGCCACGTCGGACGTCGTCCACACGTTGAGTGACACGTAGACTGTACAGTCACCTAGAGTACCACGCGTGCATGCACAATGTTGTATGGATGACATGGTCACGTTGAAGTGAAGTGCACACGATCGTAGTCAGTAGCAAAGCATGAGCATACAGCAACAGCACTATCAAACATAGCAGCATAGCTTGAGCGGTAGCCCGAAGCTGCGTGCACCCATTAATCTGCATTATCACCATAATGTAATATTGTAGCGATGGTCACCATTGGTCACGCTACAAGCTCAGCATTTGCGTATACGCTCAGCGTACTGTTCAATACGACGTTCGTTCTACCATACAACGGTCGCATGACAGTACGTTGCTGGTTGTGATTATTTTCCATAAATTGCGTTTATTTTATCTTTCACAATGAGTTCAGAGTTTTACTGCTAGAGGCAGTTTTGCCGTTTAGAGAGAGAGACAGAATTGTTAATAAAGTTAGTTTCGAGTTTTCAGGTTGTTTTGCCTCCAGGCCCGCTACAAAATTGGTGGCAGCGGTGGTTAAAGTCAACTTTGTCAGATTCGACCCCACCTGTTTTACATTGGTAGCAATGGCGCTACAAAATTGGTGGCAGCGGTAAAGTTTTGCTCTAGTTGCATGTTTTTCTACGTAATGGCCGCTACACATTTGTGGCAGCCGTCAATTTTAGTTTTAGTTTTCCTCCACGTTTCGCGGAGGGCTCAAGTTAGTGTATCTGAAGGAGCACCCGCCGTCACCCGCCGCTGCCCCAGCTCCGCTGCTACTGTCGCCCGCCACAACTAGCCAGTCATGATGGCAGCCAGCGTGTCTCTAAGGATTGGGCTCCATGACAGATAGCGCTAGCGTCTCAAAGGATGGAGCTCCATGTACATTGCCAGTGTGAGCTAATTCCAGATATGGCATTTTCTTTCCTGTCTTCCTTCAAGCTCTGCGAGTGCTCTACTGCAAGCATGCACGCATGCACACACTATACATATGTACATGATTCCATCACTACATCTCCCCCTTCAAGTAAAAAAAAGAAGAAGAAATTAAATTAAAGGAACATAGTGAAGAAGGAAAAGCAAATTAATTGAAGAGAAAAAAACAAAAAGTAGAAAAGAAGGAAAAAACCGAATCGAATGCGCATGCCATGCGCAAGTCTTTCAAAGCTGCAAATCACTGAGAAAAAAAGCAAAAAAAACACACCCACACTACATACTACCGACAAGCGGCTGTGAACGAAGGAAAGGGAAGGAGGAAGAAAACAAAAAAACCTTCAGCAAAAAAACGATAAAATGGTCTCTACGTGTCCATGGACACACTGTCCCACAGCAGCAGCAGTCATCCATAAGCCGCTCTGGCCTTCTCTGTAAGGGTTACCTGACGGCAAGAGCGGGTTTTCATGCCATCATGAAATCGCTTGGGAGACTCACTGGCTGGTGGACTGGTCTGATCCCTGCAGACATCGCTAGGAGAAACTGGACGAGGTGAAGAACACGCGGATGAGGCGTCAGCAAGTGCAGTACGGGTGAGAGGGGCCACAGCTTCCGTTGATGCTGGCACCAATGGCTCACTACCTGTCGCCGATTGTGGTGCGGCCGGGCTAGTCGGAACCGGAACACTAACCGGAGGCGTGGACAGCGGTGACTTGGGTACGGAGGCAACAAACTCAGGCCAATCAGACAATGCAGCAGCAGGTGATACCCATTCTCTGACATGTTGGCGGTTACGAAGCAGAATCCGGACACCATCGGTTACTCCCACTTGCCTCCCTAAGGGCGCGCTCACACTGCGACCATGAGCACGCGTCCATGCGTCAGCAAAACGCAGAAACGTGGCAGTCGTGCTCACACTAGGCCTCGTACACGCGTAGACGTGAACTTGTCACATAAACTTTACGAATTGCGGTTCGTATCCAAAAGAGTTCGTGCGTTTCCTAATAAAGTTGTGGCCCGTTTTGGATGTAATTTTTCGCATGTTGCATGTTGGAGGAAGTGCCTCGTGGCTCGTATTCTTGAAGTCGACGAAAATAATTCATACAATCAGGTAGGTTTGGACTCTTGAGGGACTGCCGCTGACATCCAAGCGCTTTCGCTTTCCTGACCTCGTGGTCAGAGCAAGTGCCAGTGCAGTGGAAATTCCGGTAGTGGTTTCTTTTGTCTGTTGCCAAGATGAGAACTGTATTTTCCGATGATATGTAACTGAAATGTCTTGAGGTATGGCATTCCATCATCGCAGAAAAGTAGAGAAAGATGATTTCCGAAACCGAAAAGCCAGACCAAGCTGCCATCGTATTGAACGAGTACACTGTAGAAATTGGTCTCTCACCCGATCACAACGAAGCAACTACAAAAACAAAATCGACATCGTCCGAAAAGGGCAAAGAATGCATATATGGCGGTGCGTGCGTGCAGGACCACAACTACAAAATTTAAAAAAATGTGCAAATGTCGAGGTGACATCGACAACCGCCGATTTTCATGAATCAACACACCGGAATTTGAGAAATTGAACATACTTCAGGCCAGGTTGTACACAAATACGCTTCACGTCTACGATCATGTTGCCGCCAAGTCGTGGCACCCCCCTCCGGAGGTCGCGGTCACGATTTGAAACGTGGCCGCGACGTTTTGGTCAAGTTCATGCCGTTGCCATGCAACTTGGCCGCATGGCTGCATGGACGCTGGTTTTGGTCGCAGTGTGAGCGCGCCCTTACTGCCCCACCACGGTCCACGGCTTGGCTGGATCATTGTATCCGTCATCGAGGATCACCCGCTTGCCCGCCTGCAGATGTGGCAAGGCCTTCACTCCCCGATGAGCGTCATGATCACGTGCCATTGTGACCTTGGCTCTCAGCTGGATGCTGGGGTTGACAATGCGAGGAGAGATCATGGTAGGAACTCAGCTACGCAATGGGCGAGAGAACAGAGCCTCGCTCCGAGAGGTTCCCAACATGCGGTGTCGAGAATGTCGGACGTCGAACAGAACCTAGTTCAGTCGTCGACGGAGAGGTAAATGAGCCTTCAGTGCCACCATTCTTTCCTTGACGAGACGATGGAGTCGTTCCATCATGCCATTGGAACGTGGATAACGTCGGCTGGAGTGGATGTGACGAATGCCCAGCCGCTGCGAGAAAGTGGTCATCTGCTCCGACACAAACTGTGGCCCGTTATCCGAAACCAGTACAGACGGAAGACCAAATAGGGCAAACACTTCATCTAGCTCGTCCACTATAGCTGTAGTGGTTGTAGAGGACAGAACCTTGAGGATAGGGTACCGGGAGCCATAATCAATGAGGGAGAGAACAGAGTGGC